AAAACTTTTCTTTGATTTTTTTTACCGAGATATTTAATTTTTCATGAGACGTGAGAAAATCGTGTTTCCGAATTTATGAACAGTAGTGTATAAATATTGTGTATACATACATGAGAGAGAGAGAGAGAGAGAGAGAGAGAGATTGGATATTACAATATATTCGCTGGTGTTATTTGTAAATTCATTAAATTAATATTTTACATTTTATTACGTTTTGGCCTTAATATATGCATGTTGACTACAGTATGTAGTTAGGATTTATCATATGCAAACATGTTGACCACAGTATGTAATTAGAATTTATCATATATGTAAACGTGATCGCGAATCAAATCACGTGATAAAAAAATCTCGGACGGTTTGAAAAATTTGCGATGACACGATGATGGAAAATGAAATCGATTTAAACCGGAAATATACATATATATTTGTCGCTTTACCGGAGAGATTCTCCGACCCTTGGCATTTGAAATTTTGCGATTAAAACCAGCGATTCGTCGTTTCCCCAGAGATTAGTACCAAGTTGGTATCGTTTATAATGAACCTACTGAATAATAAATCTTTCTGTCATCTTTGAAATTACCTCGATAAGCGGAAAATTTGTATACCACAACACTTCGTATAATCCAGATCTTATATCTTTTCTAACCGAAAAAATATGTTTCCCACAGTACTTTAATAATAACATTGTTCGATATTTTAAGAATTCAAATATGAAAATAGTAGCAATAGATATCAACAAAGCGTTGCTAAATATAAAATATATTAATTAAAATCATCCATAAAAAACGGACATAAATAATTATAATTATCTAAAAGTTGAATTAAAACCGATTTATTATTTCTGACTTCGCAATATTCTTTTGTGTTCTGTAGATGTATCGTGACCTGTACGAAATATAATTCTAAAGAAGATGTAATAGAAAACACGACGTGGCTGCATTATATGTATAATCGAGTTGTAGTAAATTATATTATAACTAAGAGAGTTTCTTAATAACAAGTGTACTGAGGTGGCAAGAAAGTAATATTGTTTTGTTTCTAACACTTCAACACTTGACGAAATGTATATCTACATCGCTATAATTCACATCTGTAACGCGCATCGTTAACTTTATTAGATAATTAAAGGAGCATTATAATTCAATCCTTTAAGCTAAATAATATTTTGTTATCTTTAACTTTTATTGTGTATTGAAATATAAATCAATCCATTTCTGTGATTAGTTTCAAAATAAATAATATCCATATTAACCTAAGCCAGACCTGTCCAATTTGGGCTCCGGAGTCAAAACGCAAAGTCATCGACGCAAAAAAATTCAATATAGATAAGATTTCAGGGACTGTAAAGTGTCAATACGCATCTGAGTAACGCTTATCAACACACTTTATAGTTCCTAAAATCTTACTCTGCTATTGAATTATTTTGCGTCGATGGCTTTGCGTTTTGGCTCCGGAGTTTAAATTGGACAGGCCTGACATAAGCACTTAGTAGATAATAAATTAAATTTAAGTCAAATTTAATACTTTTTTTTTTTAGTTGAACTATATAAATCCATTGTATTAGTTAAATTAACAACATAAGAGCAGGGGCAATCTAGAAATAATTAGAAGTTATTTAAATTAGGTATAATTTGATAATATGAATTTAGCAGTAGTGTAGCATTTTGTTGTACTCGGAGATACAACACGCGAACGCGGGAAACAATGGAATAGCTCTCCTTTGGCAGGTCAATAACCGTGTAATATCGAAGAGACTATATGTATATATGTATAATATCGATCCGCGGTCACTAATAATGTGTTTTAACCTCGCAAGAATATCACAGAAGAATACCTATCGCTTTGCGAACTCGGAGATGAATATTGGTCCAAGATTGCTTCACCTTTTTGACATTTCGACATTTGACCACTTCGCTTTTCAGTCTAAGACCCGATTTCACAATATATGGTTACCTAAAGATTAAAGGTAACCATGAAATTCATGAATGAATTTCATTGATGAATCTGTTGATAACCTTTAATCTTTAGGTAACATATTTTGAAAACGGGCCTAAGAATATAACGATATAATCCTCACACACACACACAACACAAACAGTCGAATACAAATCTAAAATAAGTACGCTAATCATTTGATTGCTGCCAATCCCTCGCGATTTCTTTACGAGAGCGTGAATAATTAAGAAATGAGAGCCTCTCATAATTAACAATTTTAAAATTTGAAACGTCTTTTCTGAAAATCCAAGAAAGAAGGAATTGCCACTGGCTAAATAAAATTATTCTATTAAATTATCCCTGTTCGAACTTGTAATTAAATCCGCGAAACGTGACGCAGCTCACAAGGTCGTCGAATATCCATACCTTATGTGTTATTCCTATAATCCATAATGACCATGATAATGTTGCGATTAAACATTAACACGCGACTGATACTGGCTCTGTATAAAATAATATTATTATTTTTGGCTGAACATCACGTATATTTTAATCCGTGAATATTCTATGAGCCCCAAAGACAACAAGGAACGTGACTGCAGTAGATAATAAGCAACGAATGCGTACGAACATATCGCGTGCTATTCTCTATATTCATGATTTATCATAATTACCTTAAACCATTGTTTTAATTAAATTCGCGTATTAAATGCTTGTCAATACTGATACACCATGAAAATATTAAATTGCGCCAACGATAAAATGTTAAAAATAATGTATTTTATCTTTATTCTATATTAAATAATTATTTTTTTCACTTATCCTCGTTATAGCTTTGTAATTTACGCAATCAACTGTATGACCCTCAGAAATTTTCACGAATGTTTTTGTCGTCATTGAAATTGTACCGCGTTATTATTGCAAGAGGATTGGAAAATTACAAATAACAATTAATGCGCACAACTGATGTACATATATCACTGTTAGACCATGAATTTTAAAACACTGCGTATACACTGGATTAATGGGTACAAAGCAATAATCGTGTTTTTAATGATGTGAATCGTTTTATAATTCCTCAAATCCTTTCTTTTTTGTCTGTAGAGCGTAAATTCTACGACTTCTCCAAAATTTAAACTGTTTAAATATTGATTATTGAAGCTTCAAATAACTGAGTTTCCTAGAAAATATAACAACCAGCTCACGTTTCCTACCGTATATATACAGTACTACCTCTTTAGATTACGCTCAAGAAAAATCCGATCGTGTTACAGTAAAGAAACCCGTCGCACGAAATTTGTGGAATAAAGTTAGATCAAGGAAAACTCAACGGTATAACAATTACCGAACAGCTGGAAGTGAGCGGAAGAGAAATGATTCGATCAACACTTTGATACCGACTAATTAGTTATTTCGTTTGATGAGTTGTTCCGGCGATAACTTACGCAATTTGTCCAGAGTTCGGAAGCCTCGTGGGATTTCCGTAATTATTTGGTGTTACCGCCTCCGGAGCAATCAGGCGAAACTTTTCCCTGAACGACTCGTTTTCCACTGGTGCTAATAATCGTTTAGTAGTTTGTGATCAAATTATTACCGCAATTAACAATTAGCAAATTTACGTTTCTAGCTTTGTATTATTGTATCGTTTTCTCAAAGTTTGTGACGCAATGTATTTGAAACAACCGAGAGTTACATAAATTAATTGTACTATTCGTAATCAAAATAATGACGCTTTGGAAAAAAAAAGAACTCGTTATGCAAACATTACATAGTTAATTATCCGAGTCATTGAACGATAACTTCGTCAATGAGTCTAACGTCATCGTAATCTCTAAGATAAAAGCGATGCTATTTTTTAATGTTGACCCTGTGAGATTTTTTCTATTTTCCTTACCTCATACAGAATGACGCCTCCTTATGACGACAGCAAAATGTTGATACTTCATTATGCAACGACTTTTATTGTACTTGTTCAGGATTCACACATTATACACCAATGCGAGTTCTCAGAAGCGGAAAACGCATAACTCGTGAGGTGCATTTAAATTAATATGACGAGCGGTAAATGCGATATTGTTTTGTAAACACGCGCGTTTTCTCGAGCGTGAATTTTGTTGGTAAAACAAGGTTGTTTCGCGTGAATGTATGGATAGAAATTGCTGCATCTACACTGAAAAAAAAATTTGCAGATTTTAAATAAATATTTACTCCAATAGTACTAACGAAATATTTATTTATAGTAAATAAATATTTATTCAAAATAAGACAGTTATGTTTAAATAAAATAAATATATGTTTACATTTAGTAAATATTTCGTTAGTACTATTGGAGTAAATATTTATTTAAAATTTGCAAATTTTTTTCTGTATACGAATGTCAGAACTACGGAGACTCCGAAGCGTAAAAACAACGGCGTGACTCTTTACAAACGAAAAATTTCATACATATGTATCTACGTATGCGTCTTTTTCTTTTGAGTTAACGATTAACCTAAGAGCTTTAACACGTGCACGAATGCTTTAATCAGTGTAGGACATGCACCCTGTATGCTTTCCTTTGTCCCGTGTGAGCTTCTGATCCGATCATAAGAAAGTATCCGGAAACGATGCCATATTGTTTGATGATTATAGCTACCCTTCATGCGACGCGGAAAATAGGAATTAACACGAATAATAAGGGAGGTTGAACCGTGAAGGGAGATTATCAGCTAAAAATATATTTCCAGGGGGAAGCTATCTTCTTCTTTGGGGCGTTTGATGAAAATGTCAGATTTTTAGATGGGCTTTTGCATTGCGTGAAATTATATCATATGTGTACGTAGACAAATACATAGCATAAAGAGAATTATAAAAGAGGACGGGTTGATTACAAAAAAAAATATGTAAAATTGGATAAAGAGAACCAGCACTTTACATGACTTTTTTTTCGATTGACGTTGACGTTAAAGAGAGAATTTCGTATAATACAATTTTAGCAAATAACTTTTACATCCTCAAAGCACGCTTTTACCATTATCAATTGCGATCAATCTGTGATATACGTGTTCTATTTCTGTTCGCAGACAGCAACTTTGTATTGGGAAATGCGCAGGTTCCGACGATCTATCCGATCGTCTATTGCTCCGATGGATTCTGCGAGTTGACAGGATTCGCGCGAGCGCAAATCATGCAGAAGGGTTGCGCTTGCAAGTTTCTCTACGGGCCGGAAACGAAGGAGGAGGAAAAGGCCATGATCGACAAGAGTCTTGAGAGCAAGACGGAATTGAAGATGGAAGTTGTTTTCTACAAGAAGAACGGTGAGTTCCTTGAGATATCGAATGATGGAATGTCTCTGAATTATGAGCGATTGCGCTATGAATATTATGCCAACGTCATAAAAGGTTACCTTCGTTTTCATCACTAGAGATATATTTTACGATGCGTATCTTCAATCCTGGTATTTCAAGAAAATTACTATAGCTCGACTCTTATTGCTCAATTTTCCTTATTTAAAATTGTACATTTTGTTGTTAGAATCTTATTATATTTAATTTTCCAGTTTTTCGAATATGGAAAAATCAAAGATAAAAGATTATTAAAAAAAACCGTTATATCGGTTTCACATAATAACGTAATGTATTATGGCAAAAAATATGGAATCTTTAATGATATATCTATATTTAAAAAAGTGTATAAAAGAAATGGAGAAATGGAGAACAGGGAAGAGAACCTCCACGCAATGTAGAGTCATTATCGATTTCCATTTTTCGAGCTTGGGCAACATTAAGGAATATAATATTTTCTAAAGAAACTTGCTATGCAAAATCAAATGAAGTAATCTTGTGCCTGCGCCTCCGACGGACATTCTTCGTTTTTTCTTCGCGCAACGGGAAAATCAATCTACAGTAAAGTTAATCGAGAGGCCCTCCACAATATACTTTTCATGTTATTATTTTGATCTAGAATTTATTTTTCTGATATAGTTTAACTAAGTTTTTTTATTGGCCGCGTGATTGCAAATATAAGTCAATTGTCGGTTCGCGAACTTGCAAGACACCCCGAGAAAACAAGGTTGATTACTTTTATTACGTCTTCCTATAAAAAATCAAATTATTATTTGCCTTCGTCTTTTATAACAACCTATATGCATTATGTAAAAACAAAAAAAACGCTAAAGTATCGAAAACGAAAAAATAAATAATAAATTAGACCACACGTGAATACTCAACTAAGCAGGATTGAGAAAGTTACTTATGAGTTACTTATAAGTTACTATATACGTTATCTTATATGTTTGTTATAAAAATTGAGTACAAAAACTAGTATAAAAGGAGGATGTTAAAAATGGACTGATTTAGATTCAAAAAAATAAATAAAGAAATAGTGCTTTTTTGTAAATTTTAATCTTTTGAATACGATAAGCCTATTAAAAAAATTCGTGGAATATATTTAAGGAACACCTTGAAAATTGAGCAAGAACATTGTATATTTATAGAAATTCAGATGATGTATGAATACATAAAAAACGTAAATAAAATACATGCATAATATTACATAATGTATGTGCGTTGCTATTTTATCGATCTCAACCAACTTACACACATATGATTTACTACCATATGATTTACTACATATATACTTACATACCATATGATCTACGAAACGTCGACATCGAAGATGAAGGAGTAAAGAGTGATGAACATTTTGTGTACACTTTTCGACAAGGTTGCGGATATATATTTCATTTGTTATTACAAAACACATCTTCCCCTCCCCCAGAAAAAACTCACTCAAATGCAGGTAGTGCTTTTGTAGCAGGTAGTGCCATACATTATCCGAATTTTTATACATATATAATGTTCTATAAATAATATAAAACCATGTCCTTGCACAATTTTCAAGGTATTCCCTAAATCTCACGAATTTTTTATTAGGTTGATTATATCTAGGAAGTCGAAATTAAAAAAAATTTTATTCCTATTAATTACATCTTTTTGGGTCAAAACCAGCCTTTTTTTATATCCTCGTTTGAATGATAAAATATAGGTAATATAGAAACATAAAGTACTTAAACTTTTTATATACTCAATTTCTATAATAAATACGTACAAGGTAACTTAAAAGGTAACTTACAAAATAGGAAGAAAAGTAATGTCGCATTTTTAGCTCAAATTATACATAGACTGGGCGTTAAAAATAAACTTTTAATTTCGAAAAGGAGTTTTAAAGTTTAAAATCTATACTTTCGAAGAGTCACTATGTTTTTTTAAGTTCTGTGAGTTTTGTTATTTTTACATATAAAAAACTATGAGCTGGACAAAATGGGATTTTCTACTCACTTTGCACACACACACAGGTTTGTTGCCTGCCTAAAAAAAATTTGCGTTAATATTTGACTTTTTAATGTAAAGTTTTTCCTACACAAAATCATTTTTTTTAATGTTCCTAAGATTTTTGTTACAGAATTATTCTGGTAAAATAAAAGGAGTTTTTACTTTAATAGCTCATAACTCCGTTAAAAATCATTATATTGTAATTTAAAAACAGATTTTTAAAGTTGTATTGAATAATATAATTACTAATTAAAAAAATAAAATATATATAAATTTAAGCTAAAACTATGACATTACTTTTCTTCTGAAGGAAAATAATGTCAGTTTTAACTCAAATTTTTTGTTACTTAGTTATCCTTCAGAAGAAAAGTAATGTATGTTTCTTTGCGGTACAATGTTTTTTAACGGAATTATGACAGCGAAAATAAAAAAATGCTCCTTTTATTTAATTCGGATAACTCAGTAACAAAAAATTTTAGGAGCATTCGAAAAAAAACGATTTTGTAATTTTTGCAGGCACATAATAAGCCTACAAAATTAGAAGAAAATTTTTTATTTTGTCCAGCTTAAATTTTCTCTACAAAATCGTTTTTTTCAAATGCTCCTAAAATTTAAAAGCTATAGTTTTTTATATGTAAAAATTGCCACAAACTCGAGAAACATAGTGACACTTCGAAAGTAGAGATTTTAAGCTTTAAAACCCTTTTTTTAAATTTATTTTTTGTTCATTTTTAACGAATATATTCTGTATACAATTTTAAGTTAAAAATATGATATTTTTCTTTCAATTCAACCCTGTCACTAAGTAAAGAAAAAGCTTTATCGGTCTATGCGGAATCTTAATGCTTAAATAATTAATTAAGCATTAAGATCCGAAAAAAAATCAATTTTGAATGAGAGAAATATAATAATTGTTATATAAAAGTATACTAAGATCCCGCTCAAACAAAAAAAAATTAGTTTTGAATATGAAAGAGATGTTTTATAAAGGAGATAGTAAGGAACGTGTCGGTGACAGAATTCCCATCTGTATACGGCGTGACATTCCCTTTGTAGGCCACACCGACGTGCATTTGCGGCAATTCCATCAGGAGGCATCTAATAAAACGTCATCTTATCTTTTATTGTGTAATCACAATATATTTTCATAAAAGCAGGTTTACGCGGCGACCAACGTATTTTTGTTTTTATTGTCTACTTAGTACCTTTACAACACGTTTCGCAATTTTTCGAAAAATACCTCGCTAGAAAAAACTTGACGTAATCCGTCGCTCACGTCACGTTTTTTTTTGTACGCGCATACGTTTGCAGTGGAGCTGACGCAAATATAACGTAGCTCATTATCGTAGCAAGGTTTTCTGTAACGATTAATTTATCGTTTCACAGAAGACTCAGCCATTCCAAAATTGACAATCAATGATATTACTGCAGTTTTCACTTGCTTTCGGTAAACGGTCTCGTTTGATTTGTGCAGGAAGTCCATTCGATTGCTTACTCGACATTGTTCCAATAAAAAACGAGAAGGGCGACGTCGTACTGTTCCTGGCCTCGCACAAAGACATCACGCATACGAAGAATCTTCAGCTCTGTGAGTTGCACGATAGTGGTGAGTTCTAACCATGCTTCGCTGCTAAATACGCGCAAGTGGATCGATTTTAATGAGGAATGATGCGTTCTCTCACGGCGCCATGCCAAAAATACAACTTGAATTCGGAGTTTACGAGTTTCGCATCGCAGGATGGGTAGGAATTGGCCCTTTTACGTCTTTCTCTCACTCAGCGCGTTTTAACGAGTCGAGCACTTCGAGCACCGCGCGACACGCAACACGCTGCACGAATCATTATCGCAATGTCGGGGTTGGTAACCGAATTATTCGCTGTTTGACAAAAATTCCAATGTGCTAATCTCGTGTTTTTTAATAATAAATGATAATAAAGTATTTTTTTCGAATTTTACGTATAGTATTATATACGTAACAAATATGCTCGTTTGAATTTTAATCAGTCGCAGCATTAATTAGACCGGATTAGTCGGTTACAAACTTTACGCAGGATATTCACCGAACACAAAGCAATTCACCAAATTAGAATTTGTATTATTATGCAAGAAGAATTTTATTTATTGTATATGCAAATATTATATTTATTTTTGAAAATGTATATACCGATTTTTTTATTATCTTATCTAGTTACAATTATATTGCAAAATAATACTGTTTAAGACAAGAAAATAATTTTTATCGCGAAATTCTTTTATTATGTACTTTTACATGTATATATTTTTTATTTATTTATTCTATATTATATTTATACATATATATGTAGGAATGTACATTTTATAGGATGTGCGCGCGCGCGCGCGCGCGCGTGTGTGTGTGTGTGTGTGTGTGTACGTACGGGTGCCTGCCTGTGTGTTTCTGTTTGCATTTTTCTAATTAATGCTTTTTGCGTGATTTTTATTTTTCAGAATACTTAAATATTTCTATGCAATCATACGTAATCTCTCTCTTCTGGTCCAATAATAGCGCAATTTACAATTTCAGACTCGAATGGCAATATCGACCCTGAGGCACCGCCTTCCAATTACGGTAGGAGAAGAAGTCGCGCCGTCCTTTATCAACTGTCGGGCCATTACAAGCAGGACAATAAGCACAAAATTAAGCTAAACAATGTACGTTTGTTTATTTTCTTCAAAATTACTGTTTTTTTTATGGAGAACTAAAAGTTAAATTATTATAGGACGATAATTGATAAAATAATGAGAATTTATTATTATCATAATAATATGTTGTTTGTTATGTTGAAATTTAACGGTTATTGCGTTTATTCGCAAATAAGATTAAAATAATATTCAAATTTCCAGAGATATGTGCCAGTATGAGGAATTTATTTCTCGAATTAAATTAGCATTTAACTTTTATAAATGTTATTTTGCGAATTAATTTGCATTTGGAACTAATGAAAATACTTCGTTGGGTAAAATCTTCTTTAGAAACTGATACCGCAAAGAGAAGTTTTACAGTAAATGTGTTCTTATTTGACCACCAAGAAATTTGGTAACATTCAGGACGAGAGCTCTGCCTTTTACATTGCATATCATTCTAGACGCTTCTGCATTCAACCGCGCCGCCTTTACCGGAATACAAAACGACAACCGTCAAAAAGTCGCAATTTATTCTTAGCCATTACGGTGGCTTTAAATCCTGCTGGGACTGGTTGATTCTCATCGCGACCTTTTACGTGGCAATAATCGTTCCCTATAACGCGAGCTTCATCAACATCGATAGGCCTACTATGGTCAGTGACGTTGTCGTCGAAGTGCTCTTCATTATCGGTGAGTATATCCTATCTCCAATTTTCGATCCTCTTGCCCTTTAGACCTCTCTTTATCCCTTCATCTCATTAACGAGATTCTCATCTGAACTGTAATCCTCCTGGATTATTCCAGGTAAACGAATCCTTTATTTAAAAAAAAAAACGTACGATCCTAACGCTTTTATTAATTCCGACAATGCTGATAAACGAGATTAATTAGCTTACCATTTTCGATATTGCTCTCAATTTAACATCGATAAATTATCATATTGGACCATTAAACATTGCACTACATATAATCACATAAATGTACGCACTATTTCTAAATAAGAAAATAAATCAAGGTTTAATCGCTACCGCGTAGTAGGAATCGATTGCTCCTGCCCTTTTGGAATAATGTTTCTGCGAAGGAAATAGGAAAAGTCCACCCGTCGTTCAATTGGCAACACGTGGAGCTCGTTAGACCGAAACCAAGAGAAACGATCAGCCACCTTCTTTCCTCCTCTATATGTACGTCGCGCAATAATGAGTGACTTTCGATTCAGTCGTCGCACAACAGCTTCTTCCAGGAAATAAAAACACAGCAGAATATTTTTCTGTAAATGTTTTTACAAAATGTAGAGACCTTCCAATTAGCTGACTACGACGTCTAGTAAAGTGCTAGAATGAAAAACGATGCATTTAAATCCGCGATAATCGAGCAAACAAAACAACGCTTGAACTTTTCGTAAGAAAGTTATCGGATAGGGAAATGGGTTCTATTACCAGGGGATTTAATGATAATGAAAAAAGCGGTTTGACTTTAGGAAACTTTTAATTTAATGGCGAGCGTTCATTATAATGTTAATCCTTTGATTTAATTTTTTTTTAATCGTTTACCATATTGAGACTGTAGGCTAATTCTGACGCAAGCATTTTCGTAGAATACTACATATATATATATATATATATATCGTGCGCGAACCTCGGTAAATAAACAACATGCATTTTCAATATATACTCGCCGGTTTAACATCGATTTTAACTGTCGAACGAAATTGCGCTGTCATGAAGTTGAACGAGGTAGATAAAATATATATTAAAAGACGTCCGCATTATAAATTGGATCATACCTTTCATTTTCCTTCACGATGTGCACGCGAGTTTATCGCAAAGTATTTTATATATATAGTGACAGATTCTCTAATAAATGTATCGTATTACGATTAATGTAGAATTAACAAATAACGATATTTCACGTGTGCCAACGTGTGATACATGATATGTAAAATATCGACTATCTGCGACTTTTAAACGAAGTTACTTCTACGGCAAGTGGACGTGGAACGTGAATTTCGCGGCTAAAATCCAATTTGCAAACGGGATTAAAAGGCATTCATTGTACAAAGCCAAAGTTTCGCTCAGCTGCTTGATACGTTTGCAGGAATAGAAACTCGGCAGGACAACAAGCAGAAAAGCCAGTTTCTCCTCTTCGTGTAGTCAGGCGATGCACATGCAAACTTGACGTTTACATTCGCTCGCAATCATTATTATTGTCACGCCCCGGGCTGAAAACAATGTTTCCCGTTTGACGAGATCGTACCTAATTGACATTTCACCATAAAAAAGGATTAATTAAAAACAGTTCACGCAAACCAGTGGATCATTTGAGCGTCGTAATTGTGATTTATTCAGCAAGATTGACAATATTTTGCAATTAATAGTTGAAATGTAAAACCTATTTAATTATAAAACACTTAAAGAGCTTATTTTAAAACCCATTTTTGTTGCATTAAAATTTCCGAGATTTTGTGTTGAAATCCAGATATTCTGGTATCTCGTACGTGCGAAAGATTCTGATCGTTTCGTGCTCATTGCGAATGTATGTATACTCTGTTATTCCTCCCCAGATATCGTTTTGAACTTCAGAACAACATACGTGAGTAGAAAGGGCGAAGTCGTCAGCAATAGCAGAAGCATCGCCGTGAATTACGTGAAAGGCTGGTTCTTTGTTGACCTCGTAGCGGCATTGCCGTTTGATTTTCTCTATGCCTCAGACGTTTACGGTGGCGAGGTAGGTATCTTTCATCCGCTTACAAATAGCTTTATGAGTTAGCTTATTTACTTTCTTACAAAAGCAACTAGCTTTTACGATAAGCTCTTTTTTTCAAAATATTGAATTTGCAATCTCATCTTGCAATCTTCAAGAGATTCAACTCTTTATGACACTTTTTAACTTTTAATCCAATCTAAGAAAAATTTCTTGTTTTTCTATAATACGGAAATTAAATTTAAACAAAAATGAAATATTGGAGCAAAATGGAAGTCTAGTATATAAGAGTATTTGAATTAGGATGGAGAAATCTACATAGAACGGTATATGGGTATGTTTTCGCGTCCTAATATCAGTTTTGCGGTAATTAGTAATTTCCGTTAGGCATCAATCCAATGAAGAGAGTAACTAAGCTAATTAATTTGCCCTAGGTGTAATAGAAAATCGATAGATTATGTCAAAATTAATCATTAAATATTATCAGGAAAAATATCTTCTCACCAAAATGTTGCTATTTTTAATTGAATAACAACTATTAGCAAAATTTTTTTATTAAATAAGTAAAATTAGTTTTGAAGTAAAAAATACATAATATTATAATTGCTACAACGTCTACATCTCAAAATGTAATATAGAACCTAATGTGAACCGTTAAAAAATGCAGAACTAAATAAACATTTATTATCGATATCTGTTGTAGGAATCAGCACATAGTAACATTCACTTAGTGAAACTCACAAGATTACTGAGACTCGCACGACTTTTACAAAAAATGGACAGATATTCACAGTACAGCGCGGTAATTTTAACGATGCTTATGCTCTTCTTCATTGTGGTAGCACATTGGTTGGCTTGCATTTGGTATGTAATCGCCGAAAAGGAGCGATTACGGAATGATAAGGATTGGGATCTAGGTAAGTCTTTTGAAGCCAATTCCCTTGTAGAAACTTAATACTAGTACTAGCCAATTAATTGTTTTGAATATTAAAAGTATCGTTACAATACTTTTAATACTGAAAATAGTTGATTAATTGGTCAAATTTATATAGTATTAAATTTCTATAAGGGTTCAGCATTATTTAATGATCGCAAGTTGCCACATTCTGTAACACGGATATCATGAAATTTTTACGGAAAATGTAAGACACCGTGTACTTGGGAACAGCTAGATTGCCAATCTTTCGAGAATATATATATATATATATACGCAAGTATTCTCTCTACATAATATAAAAACAATATGAACACAATTGCGGCCTTCGTGACCTATAAAATTCACTCGACGCTATCTATTTCTTGAGAAAACATGTCTACACATCCGTCGCAGAATTGCGCGAACGGATCTGCAACTATAGAAACGATCCTATCGATATGAAAACTCTTACATAAGATTTATGGGAATTGTTATCCAATAGTTATTGAGAGAAATTGTGTCATCATAAAAATCGCTTCTCAATAGAAATATGAAAATATAAGTTTCACAACTTGAACACAAAATATGGAAATAAAAATATAAATGTAGAAACAGAAACAAAAAATATAAAAGTTAATATTTACTCTATAAATTCTTTGAAGTGGAATGTCATTCTACAGAGAAAATTAAGTCAGTCTTGAAAAAGAGTGGCTCAATTTTTACTCTGTAAAGTGAAATTTATTCTAAAAGTGTTAGAGAGTACACAACCGGACGATGATTTTATTAAATTGTATGAAAATATAAAGTTTGCTCGCGTCGCATGTTTCAACATGCTTTAATATGCTCCATAACACTTATTCACTTTAATGCGCTCGTTAGAATGAATAGGACCTATGGTAAGAACACGTTGGAGCGAACATGCGACGCGAGCAAACCTATTGTAATTAGCACTTCAATGAATGAGGCAAAACATGATAAACGTTTATTAAACTGAAAATCGAAACGCTGGAATTGCCGTTAATATGTTCTAGGTTGGATACATACTTTGGCTGAGAAATTAAAAATATCAGTGCAAAACGTCACGCACACAGAAAGCTACATAACAGCATTATATTTTACTTGCAGTAGTCTAACTTCCGTAGGTTTCGGAAATGTTTCGGCAAATACTTTCTCAGAAAAATTTTTCTCTATTTGTACAATGTTGATTGGGGGTAAGTTTTGATCTAATTATAAAAAATAAGATTTGCATGTTGCCTGTAAAATTTCCTGGTGAGGTATTATGAATTTTATCATATTAATATGTTGTAATGCTATTATAAGTTTTATCATTAGCTCATATGCTTGTCGGGAATTAGTTGAGCATTGTCCCTTGCGTGATACTAATGGCGATTTAATGTGAAATCGATCATATTTTATGTACATTTTATATACTCCACCCAAGGTATAGTGCACAAGATTTACATTTCAGCTCTCATGCACGCTGTGGTATTTGGCAATGTTACTGCAATTATTCAAAGAATGTACTCTCGAAGATCCCAGTATCAGACGAAGTTGCGAGATCTCAAAGATTTTTTAATCTTACATCAAATTCCGGAGGAACTCAAGCAGCGAATGCAGGATTACTTTCAGACTATGTGGTCACTGAACCATGGTATTGACGTGCACGAGGTAAAGAACATCAGACTTCTTTTTAATTAAAGTGTTATATTAATATATAACATCGATAACTTCGGTTAGATTAAAACACTAAATAAAAAATAAATTGAAAAAATATTGCTACGATAGTTGTATATCACAATACATCATGATTCTTCTCTAGACCCTCAAACAATTTCCCGAGGAATTACGAGGAGATGTTTCAATGCATCTTCATCGAGAAATTTTAAGTTTACCGATATTCGAAGCCGCTTCACAAGGATGTCTAAAGCTACTCTCACTGCATATCAGAAATAATTTCTGCGCCCCCGGCGAATTTCTCGTCCACAAAGGCGATGCCCTTTCGTACATCTATTATTTGTGCAATGGATCTATGGAAGTTGTGCAAAATGATATGGTGGTAGCAATTTTAGGTAATAAACGTAATTTAATACTCAGATTCTGTTATTCGTGATTTATTCTCTTTTGTCAATATTTAATTTTATTGCAAATTACGGATAAATGCTTAAGCTCGAAATATTTTACATTGAATAAATATGTTAATTTTAGATCAGTTAAGATTTTTTTAAATTGACACGCAACTAAATGCATGAAATTATTAATTTGCGAGCAGACCTCATCCCTGATGTATCTTTTAAGGAAAAGGGGATTTAGTGGGGTGCGATATAAACGTTCATCTGCAACACGGAAATAATGGTGGCGGCACAACTGGATCTGGCTCGGTTGATGTAGTAAAATCCAGCTGCGACGTCAAGGCGCTAACATATTGCGATTTGAAGTGTATACACATGCAGGGCTTAGTTGAGGTCCTCCGACTATACCCCGAGTATCAACAAGAGTTTGCGCACGATATACAACACGATCTTACGTACAATTTGCGTGAAGGATACGAGGCAGAGGTAATTAACTCTGTGTTCTCCCTTGAGAGAAAGAAAGTGAAAGAGAAAGAGAGGAAAAGAGAAAAGGGAGGGAAGAAGAGAATGGAAAGAAAGGGAGAAGTAGAATTACTAAAGGGATTCGATATCATTTTAAGTATTAAAGTATTATTTAGAGAATTATCGAAAAGAGTTCGAAATATGATACTTAAATATTTTAGAAGATATTAATTTTTAATTTTAAATATAGAAGAATTAATTCCATATCTATATATAATTATAAAAAGAATGCATATTATTCTACAAAGATCATTGAGACTCTGCCCAAGTGAAATTTACTAGCCCTCTTGTCACGTAAATTTTAGCAGGAGTCCGATATAAATGGCCCGTCATTGACACTGCCCTCCATCAGCGAGGACGACGAGAATCTAGCCGAGGAGGGCGAAACTTCTCCCCTCTCACCCCCAAACAAATCACCGCTTCACACCTCTTCGAGCCCACGACATGCCAAGTTCAGGTAAGCCCTTATCGAAAAAAAGAAACCCTAATATTGAAAAAAGAAATTATGGAAGAGACTTATGGAAATATCCTCTTAGGAAATGTAAAATACTAAAAAAGGAAAGAACGTTAAGTAAACGATGGCAAGATAAAAGTTTCAACGGCGTAAAAAGGTTGAAATAATGGATAGAATAGAGAGTAGAAAAAAGTGAATCCAGTTGTTTTACTTTCTCACTTTTTCTGTAACTAAATATTTGTTGCATCGATCTATTTTTTCGAAAAAAATAATAACTTAAATATATATTTAATTCTTTTTATTTATTGACTATTTATATTCAATAAATTATTAGTTCTAAAAAATAACATTCCTTTTTTGCTTTAAATAAAGCTGAGGCGTAAAAAAAATATCTCGGATTGTAAAAGGCGCAATTTGTCGCTACCTTCTGTAAAGAAAGAAAATTTCGATTGTAGGATAATACGATTTTCCGCTCGTAGAACTTGAGAATATCCCAAATCGCATTCGATCCGGCTTTAGACGATGACATACTTATATCGTTGAGAAACTGTGGCGAAGTATAACCCACTTCTAGATTTTTTACTTTGGGATTTTCGCGCCATGATTCCAACACCGTCTTGTCTCTCTGAATATTCTCGATATTTTAGATCGCATAATGAGGAATAAAGTTAACTTTGTTTGAAATATCAGGGAAGATTATAGAGAAGGCAGACGTGCAAGGGGCGTCTTGCTGCGAGGAGGAAGGGCGGCGCAAGTGATCGCGCAAGAATCTGTAGAGGAACATATTCGAGGATCGGTTGAGAGACTCGATAATCAGTTTTCCACGCTGCACCAGGATGTTGCTACGCTCAGTTGCGAGGTACTTTATACGGATCCTTTGTTTCAATCCGGCTAAGAGACATTATGCCAAATTATTTTATATTCACTTAACTACTACTGCTTCTTAATCCTCCGAGATTTCTTGGCTTTAACCCTTTATAATCCAATTATATCCAAAAATTATATGACGTGCAATTAACAAATATTGACCTTGTGATATGAACTAACAATTAATTTTCAATTTTTTAATATTTCATTACGAAAAAGTAATTTGTAACTTTGAAGCAATGGATGATGTTGTACAACACTTTGTACATATATGCAAAGAACAGCGTTTTTTAATCTTTTTCAATTTACGGCATATTAAATAACAAGCCAAATTTCTTGAAGTACAATATTAGGTGCACACGTTTTAGAAACATAACATTCAGAAATAAAAAATAAAGTTCTAATCACTTTGGTTAAAATGAGAGCAAACACAATATAATTTAGATAATTTTCACAATTTTTGAAACATTTTTTTGCATCTCACTTACTTTTTTGTTATATTTAAAAATTTTTTTCGCTTTTTTTACTTTCTCTACAATAATTTTCGCGACACACTTGGAAATTCTTTGCAATTAAAAAACACTGGTAAATAAAATATCATACAGGATAGAATATCATACAGGATAGAATATCATACAGCACATAGTAAAAAACCATTTTGTATTTGTTTTGGAAACGGTCCACTCAAGTCCTTGTTAAAAAATTTTGTGTTGAATTTTATTATATTTGAATGTTAGTGTATGTATTTGATATAACGTAATTGTGTTATTTGAATTTTTTTTCTAAATATTCAAATGTTAAATTGATATTCAATATTTCTTAGCGTAAAAATAACACAATTTACGAGTAAGTGAAACAACATAAAAATAATGTTTTTTGAAGCATAAATTCTAAGATAAATGAATAAAATGTGTTAATTTAACATATTATAAATGTTGATTTTAATAAAGAAATATGACTGCTTATATAAATTGTGTCAATATTACGTTTTTCGTATTAATTTTTTATATAACATTTATGTTACTTCCTAACATACATAATATTTACCTTGTGTTAAATTAACTTAAAAATTTGATTTGGGATATATAAAATGCGTTAAATTTTACACAAATTTTCCAACTAAAATACTAGGATAGGACAGGGCTATTTATAAAACGAATAAATTTCAAGAGAAATTGTTTACGATAAATTTGTTATTTTTTAAGAATTTTATTTGAGCAAATTCAAAATATCCACGGATTTATCATTTGAGAAAAGTTCAGCCGCGGAATTAAAATGATACATTGAATCGACAGGTGCGCAACGCTATTCAAGCGTTGCAGATGCTCGCCTGCTCACCCCAAAGTAATCCGAATCTACCGACCCCGGCGGCGAGCCGTGGCAGTGGGGTCCTCGCCAGGAGCTCGTCCCATCCCCCGGACGCCATTTGTTGGAATCCGCCAGCGAGATTGATCGACGCGTCGACGCAGACGGATTGGCCGGTCGATCTATTTGAAACATGGGTGCGTGCGAATCCTCACAGGGCCCTAAAGGCCCTCGGCCTCGATCCGGACATCGTTCTCAGGTTACCACCCCCATCACCCACGCCATCGCCATCATCGCCTCCACCGCCCCCCTACGAGCCCTTATCACCTTTGGCGGGCTCGCCCCAGCAATCGCCTTCGCAATCTCCAACTACAGGTAATTTGATCTTGAGTGTTATACAAGGGACTTTTTTTTAATACAAAGAAGTAGTTTTGTAAACAGAATCAAAGGATTGTCAAAAATTTATAAAACAATAGCTTGATACAGAAAGATTTTCTATCTGTTCAGAAAAGAGATAGTTTCTTGGATAACACGAGCGTGTAATATATATACATGGAAAAATATTTCTTATAGGGAATAAATATACATTTTCTCCTATATATAGATATTTAATATATGTATTACGAAAAAGATACATCTCATCATATAGGGAGGATAATCACACTCATACAATTCCGTGAACACGCGTTTCAACATTTTTCGCAATAGGGATTTTTCCAAGGAGAAAATACTCCTCTGTGAAAAGAGTTCCACCACAGTAGAAATATATCTTTCTACAGAGATATCTCGTTGCGAAGGTGCCTGCGTCCATGATCGTATGTTCCCATAAGAAGCATAGGGTTATACGGTGATGGATTTAAACTACCGAAGGGGTATTTTGCAAAGGGGATACCTTTCACCTTAGCATCCTACATGGAATATCTTCTTGCATATAAGTTATTCATATGTTTTTCTAACAGATATTTTCTCTTTTGGCAAGAATATCTCTACGTGAAAAATAATCACGTCGTGACATGTTCGACAAACTCATTTATTTATAAGTTAACCTTTTGCACTTCGCAACAAATTTAATATTTTACTTCACCAACTTCAAGTAAATAAAAATAAATAGAAAGATTTTGAAATAAAAATTTTTAATTACTTTTTTATAGAAAGTAAAAACAAGCATTTGTCCGAAGTAACTGTATATTAAATATGTTATAATTAATATACAGAAGCTATACGTTTTGTGGATTATCTCGATGTTCAGATCCTTTATTAGAATTCCAACGTTTCGTGAACATTGCAATTCGCTTCATCAGTAATACCTCATCAGTAATACTTCATCAATAATAGAAGTATCAGGTTGCTCCTCATCATGATGAAGTGAACTGCAATGTTCACGAAACGTTGGCATTCTAACAATGGATTTGGACACGGAGATAATCCGCGAAACGTACAGCTTTTGTACATAAAGTAATCTACTAACTGGAATTAGTCACAAAAGCATTATCTAATTAATTATTAATATGTTTAAAAGCACAATTTATTACTTTTTATTTTAAATTTCAATGATCTGATTTAAATAATTAACATGATATCACTTGAAGCATTTGTTCGAATAAAGAGACCAAGTTTCCTTTTATATTAAATTTAAGTGCCAAAAATCTAAATTTGTTGTAAATATTTAACAACGCAATACATAAAACGAAATATTGATATAATTGCTTTTAATTAAAACAATACAGAAAAAAAGTATATACAAATTTTATGTCGAATCCAGCTCGATGTTGAAAACTTAAGAGTAAAGACCTCTCTGTGTGTAATCGCAAAACGTAATTCGCAAACAGTTAATTAGAAACTGTCAATAGTTAATTGGCGCTTCTAATTGTCTATCGCTTTTACGTTTTACAATTGCAACTTATTTAGAGAAGCTTTTAATCTCGCAGTAATTGTAGCAATTTCAAATTCTACCAATCCTGCGGTATATAACTGCAGCAACGATCGCTCACTTTGGTTACATCGCTGCATCGATTTCGATGCTTTCAGCGCTTTCTATCTTTGTTTCACGTCTAATGAACGATAAAAACAGAATGATAATTATAAGCGCTTAATCCTTTGTGTATATCTTCCACCTTTTTTTCATTTTTACGATGTACTACTCACAATTTAAGGAAACCGGTTTTACATTCTTCTGATACATTAATCCCAAAGAACAAAAGCGTTGAGAACAAAAGCGTTGAGAAACTGTTGAAAAAATATTTTTTCGTAACGTTGAGTAATAGTTACAAGTGTCCGCATAGAAAACATTAAAAATAATGATTAATTAAAACCACTATATAAAACCAGCATATAAAACCATTTTAAAACTTTTTTACTCTAGTAAAATATTTTTTATGTATATTTAATCCAGTTTTATTGCTTAAATATTTATTGCTAAATAAATTTTATTAATTAGTGTTACACATCCTTAAATACACATGACAAAATAACAATAAAAAAAGTATTCGAGGAAAGAAATTCGACACTTTACGATTGTTTCTCCAAATGGTTTCACCCATCCAAACGTAATCCGTATCCAAGCTTTGCTTGACTTCTACGGTCGTAAAGAAATTAAAGTTACCTTAAAACAAAGGTTTTAAAACAAAGAGAGAGAGACAACAATTTCTAAACGTTTTATAAACGTTGCTGTTCTACTTGGGATACATACTTTATATGCTTTCTATGGTCATTATACTCGATTGTTCTTGCATTTCTTTCAAATTCCTATTCTTACATTAAAGCTTAGACCTTTAACTTTCTGTTAACAATCTGAAAACCCTTTATATCGTGTATCTTATTTATAATTATTCAGACTTACACTAATTTACCCCTATATGGCAGCCATACTGAATTTGCTATTTAGAATTTTTAAAATCTGACGTCAGATTTGTAATCAGCGAACTAAAAAAACATAGACTGCAAGATTTCACAGAAATCTGTTTAAATAGAAAAATATGCTACACAAGGAATTAAAGCGACAAAATCAAACGCAGCCTAAAGTATGCAAGATTACGACGTATAATCATAAATCGTGTCGCCTAGCTATACGATCACACGTTACAGCTGTACATCGCACGTTTAAGATGCCTTTAAATCGATTTCAGGAAATAACAACTACGTTTTTGGAATTACTCGCGACGGTCGGCACATTCCCCGATTATACAGGCCGCCCAATTCAGCCTGGGATCCCAACAACAAGCTGTGGCACCGCTTCAGCGCCGGCGACGCCGACAACGCATCGCTGTATCAGGCGTTACGACGTCTTCCGGAGTCACGCTCATTAAAGTTCGATTCGTTCGATAGCTGAGCTGATCAACTCACGAGCCCACGTTCCGCGCGAAAAATTCATTTCTCGTTATCGACGCAAATGCGGAGGGAGGAGACGCCGGATTAAAGAAGAAAAATATATAAAATCGCAAATTCAGCAAATTTATCAATAACATGGTTTTACGCGTGCGATAAAGAGTTTGGAAAATTTCAATTCAGAGGCTTGCGAAGAACTGGTACGCTAACCGGTTCGATAATTCAATGCGATAACTCAAAAGCTAAAGGCTCGAGGCAATAATGTTTGATTGGCATATTAATCACGATATTGTCAAACTGTTGGACATTTATCGGGATAAATGGCGCTTTAATGTTACGGATAGAATGGAATAATTTCTGGTAAAATAAAACTGGATATAGACAACTACTAAGGGATTGATTGCAGTCCGCAATAGGAATGCTGGCTAAATAATACGATACGTATGAGATCAGAAAGTGATTATTTCAAATCACGGTCGACGATGCGCGTGTATATTCAAACCTGTAATGTAATGTTTATCGTAACATAAATAAGCGCTCGTTGACACGACACTAGATTACTCGTAAATTGACATTTACGTTTCCTTTCGCCGTTGACGTCAATTCATGATCTCGTTGTAATATTTAACTTTTGAATGCATCCGGCTATTTTGACTTGGCAAGAGATAAATTAAGACTGACGTAAGATGCATATCAGAGCAAATATGCTTAACAATATTCTGTTTAAACACGCAAAAGCAGAAAATATATATAACAATATTTTTTAAACCCCATAATATACAAATACGCATATATCAAAATATCCAACGATATCATTCAGTGATATACATAATTTATTAATTACATTCTAATTTAATACAAATCGATAAGTCATAAATAATATATTCTAATAAAAGTAATTTTAAATACAAAGCCTTTCAAACTTAACTTCTTATAATGAAAGATTTTATTAAAGAGCCGTGTGCATTCAAAAGTTAAGCGATACTATATATATATATTGTCCTAGGCATTTCTCACTGCCAAACAGGATAATACCTGGCTTTATACGTCTCTGCTCTTTCGTTCTCAAAATAATATATTCATCCTTTAAATAAAATAAATCCTCGTCTACGTCACTGTACGTATCTAATCCTATAATTTAATGATTACAAAATGTACGTTAAAAACGTACACTCCGCAACAATCTTGCCGAGAATTATAATTATTCTGCCGTATATCTGCTACCTGCATAACAATATTCTGAAAACCTAAACCCTTACACTACCTATAAACTTACATGAAGCGTTTTCTAATTAACATTAAATAATATATAATTTTGTAGACAGTCGTACGCGTAAATTTAATTCATGCTCATATAAGTGCGCAGCTTATGGAATTAATATCGGGTCTTCGCTATTATATAATTAAGTTGCATGTCTCTCCGCCTGAAACAAGTCGAACGCTTCGCACAGCACTTGCGAAGCAATTCCATGAAATATGAGAGTAACGAGCCGTTTATTCAAAAGTTAAGGTAGCAATAATGTGCACAACACATTTCAATGTACACTGTCGACGTCCAATCTAGAGAGTAGTATGTTCGTTAAGTAGATATAAAAATGGTAACAAGGTGCGTCCCTTACAGAAATTTAATACTGAAAGGTAGTGATTAATTACTTATTAAGCGCTCAACAGCAGTGCTTGTAATACTCAAAATAAGTATCGATCACTATCTTTTAGTATTAAATTAACTATATTGGATTTCTGTAAGTCCCAAAACACAATAGGTATAGTAAGTCTTAAGCCTTAAGAAATTAATTAATCACAGTTGAATGTGAGAAAAATAATCGACTGTGATTGATCAATTTCTTGAGGCTTACTACACACAGGTGTAGTAAAGCCAGAAATACATTTAAAAAACGTAAGACAATAAGACATAAGTAGAGTAAGTGAATCGATCGATCAACCAAATAAAGAGCTATTTTATGTTCTCTACTGTGAGATTGGCCGATTCGCTTACTGCCTACGTCTTACTGCCTTATATTTTTTTATGTGTTTCTAGCTTAAGCCTTAAGAGGCTTTCGACAATAAGTCGGAAGCTTATATTACCTAAGCTTAAGTCTTAAACCGTAAGAAATTGACGATTACAGTCGAACATGAGAAAAATAATCGATTGGTCAGTTTCTTACGACTTAAGACTTAAAGCTTAGGTAATGGCTTATTGTAGAAAGCTCATAAGCCTTAAGAAATTGTGTTTCGGGATTAAAGGATCCTCGCGCAAAAGAGACGACGACGACGACGATTCGAAAATAACACGACACTCTGTCTTATGGCACAAAATAACTTTGAGCCCACTTCGTTAAGAATGCGTGTCCATCTGTATCACGAGAATCTGTCTTAACTAGCTATAAGTACTTCTTAGATTATAATCGCACGTGTATATATAGGGAAAGCGACGTTGAAAATATGTGATAAGGCACGGCTTTGGCCATGCACAACTACGTTCATTCAAACACTTCCGTCGTTATTTGTGAAAAATTCGGTAGTATCGCAACTATGAGCAGAAATTATTGCAATTCGATACATTTGTTTCACAGACGATCGAAAAATGTGTTGGTTCTTGGTTTATCATAGTTATCACGCGAGGAAAAATTAATAATCGTGGAAAACCCTTAGAGAAATTTAATATCAAGTATCTATTAAATTAGTTAATGATTAATTACTTATTTTGAATATTGAAAGCATTAACAACAATGCTTTTAATACTTAACATAAGTAATTGATCACTAATCAATTTAATCATTTCTGCATTCAATTTCTCTTAGGAAACAATTATTTTGAAATTTCGATTAGACACGTGTTGACGTAAGAAATGAGACATTTTCACAAATATCGTTGGAAGGAACTGTTTTATAAATATTTCATATATTTTGTTATACTATTTCTATGCTCCTCGCATTATAATTCAAGCTAGGTATATTATAACGTTATCTGACACCTTTCATGACTTCTACCACTTTTTACACTCCTAAAAGGGACGTAAGTAGCATGATCCTCCTGAATCCTCTATCGTAATAATAAGATCAGTAGCACAAAAGTAATAGAACAATTTTCTTCCTATAATTACCTGCTCGAAGTCAAGGACCTCTCTGAAATATCTTTAAGAGTATTTTTGACCGGCTGGTTAAACGTCCAAGGAAATAGACGTAACACAGCGACGCTGTTCACGTTAATCCCTTACTGCGTAGTTATTTCTTCGTTGTAAAAAGTTACACTCACAAAACAAGTGTGTCAACGGTGTAAAAATAGATATTAAAGTGTAATCCTACCTCTTTAATGGAGAAATATAGAATTTAATATTTTTATCGGCAATAACATGAGAATTCTATTGAGATTGAAATATATATACTTTCCCGTGCGGAATGACGCAATAAAGTCTCGAGGGAAATATAAATTTTGATAAACCATCGGAGCTTATATATCAAGCACTTATATTCGATAATACTGTGCCGTAAGGGGTTAACCCAGAATTATTATACATGTACATACGTAACTGCGCGTACAAAGATAAGCCGCAAATTTACTGTAAAGTCAAGAAATTATCCAAATTCGAACTTTGCGCAGTTGTGTCTCTTATTGTACATTTTATCGAAAAAACTAGTTAGGGAACTTCAAATGACGGCCTTAAAATAAAGATTTATTTTTTTCACGATGACAAATGTCTGGCAACAGGTGAACGTAGCGAAGTGAAGCGATCTCTAAAAATGAATCGCCGAGCGAAAGATGCGAAAACGGAAATAAAACAGGAAATGCGAAAGAGGGAGAGGGAGAGAGAGAGAGAGAGAGAGAGAGAGAACAGATATTTCTTCTACGACGTTAATCCTTATAAAAATATATATCTAAACGTTTGTAAATATTTTTAAACACTTGTACAATGTGCTTGTAAGTGGCATTCTTTGTTCGACAGATGGGTTATAAATAATAATAAAAAAAAATGAAAAGTAATTATAAGCAAAACACTACGAATACTTCTGTGAAACAAAATATTCTCTCCGTCAAAGTTTCTTCCTAAAATATAATAATTCAATTGCAAAACAATTGCGTATACATATTTTCTTGTACAAAAGACGATAGTCTTATTTGTCTTATTAAACTTTTAGTATCAATTATCAGTAAGAGTGCACGAGAATCTGCACACCTGGAGCGGTTAATTTAGCAAAGCTGCCAAGGGAAATCTCACAATCACATAAAACTCGTACGCGAGTCTCTCGTTCACGGAAATCGTAAACGGACACTTTCCAAGGAGTCCACTTTCCGTCTACGGTCCGTTGAGAGTTATCTCCCTTGCGAGAGAGACGAGATCTGTTCACCGTCGCAACCCTGGAGCGCGGATGTTGGGTCCATCGATGCTGTGCCGCGCTCCAGCGACGGAGGAAGGTGCGACAGATCGGCCGCGGATCGTACGCTAGAGCAGAAAATAAACGTATTACGGGGGGCTCGCGGCGGGCCATTTTTGGGATCCCCACCCTAAAGCTACGTGACACGCGTCCTTCCGCCGCGCGCTTTTCGCCCGAAGACTTTTCTCCGCTCAGATACTCGTCTCACGCTGCTCCGATCGCTCGGGTTTTGGTAAGTGCACCATTCTCATCGACAGCGCGCTTTTCCTGCAGTGAAAATGCTTCGCTTCGCTTCTCTTTCTTTCTCTCTTTCTCTCTCTCTCTCTCTGTCTTCTACGCTTTACCCCGTGACAGCGCGATGCGGAACAAGCTCTTGTTGGCGAACGGAGAACGGCGGAAGTGGCGACGAAGGCAGGAATATCTATTCGACGACAGGATAAATCGAATGCGACGCGATAGTGCACTAACCAACAGCACATTTGAACTTTTAAGAAGCTTTAACCTTGGAATTTTAGCGACTCGTCGGTATTTAGCACACTTGTAAGTAGCATCTTTACGATGTATAAACTCTCTGTGCAGATGTTGATCGATCGTCGCAGTGAGATAGTGAAAAGTATCACGAGAGGAACACGCGCTTCTGTTTATATTAAAATATTAGTGTCTCTTTAAAATGTGCGAAAACTCCCGAAGAGGAGGAAGTGCTTTTAAAAAATTGCAGTAAATGATTCAGTGCCGATAATTACGTAGTGCTCGAAATTGGAGTCCGTCTCTGCGTGATTCGTCTACCATCTCAAATAACTTAACGTGTGTTTCTAACATTTCGACGGTAGATCTATCCGCTGGAAAATAAAACTCAAAGCATAAATCGAATTTGAAGGGAAGTAACAGAAGCGTAAATGAAAATTTTAGGAAGCGAAAATTGAAACAATAACATGTAACAGAAGTCTTTTTTACATTTCGTTGTCTCAATTTTCGTCTCCTAAAAGCTTCTGTCGTGTCTCTTACATTTGATTTACGCTCCAATTTTTATTTTCGCTAAGGATTT